AAAAAAAAAAAAAAAGAATATGGAAGGAATACATAGAATCACTGTTCCAAAAAGAATTGGTCAATGTTCATCTATTTCAGAAGATGGCATATGATCAAAGAACCAATGGTACTGAAGGAAGAAGTTGAAGCTGCATAGAAGGAATTGGCAAAAAATAAGGCTCCAGGAATTGGTGGAATACCCACTGAATAAATATAATGTAGCACTGGAGGCACTTACTTTTCTTCCAAGTAATCTGGAAGACAGTTATCTGGCTAACTGACTGGAAGAGATCAATATTTGTGCCCATTGCAGAGAAAGATGATCCAACAGAATGTGGAAATTATTGAACCATACCATTAACATCACATGTAAATAAGATATTGCTGAAGATAATTCAAAAACAGCTACAGCATTACATTGACAGAGAATTTCCAGAAATGCAAGCTGGATTCAGAAGAGGATGTGGAATGAAGGATATCATCACTGATGTCAGATGGATTCTGACTGAAAGCAAAAAACACCAGAAAGGTATTTACTTGTGTTTTACTGACTATGCAAAGGCAACCGACCATGTGGATCATAACAAATTATAACATTGTGAAGAATGGGAATTCCAGAACACTTAATTGTGCTCATGAGGAACCTGTTCATAGACCAAGAGGCTGTCGTTTAAACACAAAAAGGGGATACTGCATGGTTTAAAATCTGGAAGGATGTGGGTCAGGACCGTATCTTTTCACTATACTTATTCAAATCTTACACTAAGCAAATAATCCAAGAAGCTGGGGGACATGAAGAAGAACATGGCATGAGGATTGGAAGAAGACTCATTAACAGCCTGGGATATGCAGATAACGCAGATGACGCAACCTTGCTTACTGAAAGTGAAGATGACTTATTGATGAAGATCAAAGACTATGGTCTACAGTATGGATTACACCTCAACATAAAAAAATTAAAATCCTCACAACTAGGCCAATAAGCAACATAATGATAAATGGAAAAAAAGACTGAAGTTGTCAAAGATTTCATTTTATTTGGATCTACCAATCAACATCCATGGAAGCAACAGTCAAGAAGTCAGACATACTGCACTGGGCAAATCTGCTGAAAAAGACCTCTTTAAAGTGTTGAAGAGCAAAGATGTCACTTTGAACACTAAAGTGTTCCTGACCCAAGCCATGGCATTTTCAGTTGCCTCATATGCCATATGCATGTGAAAGCTGGGTAATGAACAAGGAAGACCAAAGAAGAATTGATGCCTTTGAATTATGGTGCTAGCAAAGAATAATGAAAACACCATGGACTGGCAGAAGAATGAAGAAATCTGTCCTAGAAGTGCAGTCAGAATTCTCCTTGGAAGCAAGAATGGCCAGACTTCATCTCATGTACTTCAGTCATGTTGTCAGAAAGGGGCATTTTCTGGAGAAGGATATCATGCTCAGTAAAGTGGAAGGTCAGCAAAAAAGAGGAAGACCCTCAACGAGATGGACTGACACAGTGGCTACAACGATGGGCTCAAGCACAAAAAGGATTGTGAGGATGGCACATGACTGGGCACATATTAGGTAGGCAATAGATACTAACTGAACTGAAATAAATGTTTAGTGTTTTCCTTCCTCTTTAGATGGTAACCTCCCTAAGGGGAGGGTTTGTGTCTGTTTTGTTCACTGATGTGTCCCAAGTGTGCTAGACTAGGAAGGCTACAAAAACCAAACCAAACCCATTGCCACTGAGTCGATTCCAACTTGTAGCGACCCCCATTGGGTTTCTGAGGTGGTAAATCTTTACGGAAGCAGATTGCCCCATCTTCCTTCCGAGGAGTGGCTAGTGGGTTTGACCCACCAATTCTGGTTAGCAGTCAAATGCCTTTGGCACTGCACCACCAGAGCTCCTCAGGAAGGCTACCGTATATACGGTAATTTTCACCTGTCCCATTTAGGACGAGCTTATGTAAAACTGGAGTGAGGATCCAACTACAGCTAACTACTAGAGTTAGCAAGAGAAATGATACCAAAAATCCCGTACCCCCCCATCATCACTGCTCCCTCTACTCTAGTACTCCCATTAGCACCCCTATGTGCTATTATGGGAGCTCTGGTAGCATAGTGGCTAAAGCACTTGACTGCTAACCAGAAAGCTGGCAGTTCAAACCCACCAGCCACTCCTCGGAAGGAAGGTTGGGCAATCCTACTTCCGTAGTGATACTGCCTCGGAAACCCAAGGAGGGGTCGCTATGAGTCGGGGTCGACTCGACGGCACATAACAACAACAACAACATGTGCTATTATTTCCTCCATCTTAAAATAACATTCTGACTTCATTTCCCTTCTGTATTTCATCCCATCTCTTTTTATAGCAAAACTCCTCAAAACTGTCCATATCTAATGGTTCTATTTCCTTTCCTCCATTCTCTGGAATCAATCGATACCAGTTATTTCCAGAAAATGCTCGTGTCAAGGTCACCAATGACCTCCATGCTGCCAAATCCAGTGGGCAATTCCCAGCCCTCGTTTACTCATCTTTTCAGTAGTACATGATACTCCTCTCACCCTCAAACACCTTCTTCCCTTTGGTTCCAAAACAGTGCATGGCACCTACTAAGCATTCCATAAATATTTGCTGGGTGACTAAACAACACTGACACATGCATACAGCAGAGAGCCCTAGGTCTACTACAGTGAACTGATTTTATAAGCTACTATAAAAATATAGGAAAATAAAGGGTATTCCTGTCTTCTGTCTACTAGCTACAAACTCTTGGGAAAGTCATAGTGCTGCGGCTCTCTCACTTTACTGGAGAAAGGAGAAGGCTGAACCAGACATCTAAGCTGTTATGATCCTAGATGCTTTATTATACGATCTTCAAAATACACTCTACTGTGTTTTCAAAACCTTCTTTAGGCTGACAAGAACAAGTACTGGTGAGCCTATGGAACGTCTGGCATTCTTATACATTACTGGTAAAAGGGTAAAATGGTAAGGCCTTGGTGAAAAAAATAGCAGTTTCTCATTGAGATGAACATACACTTACAACTCAGCAATTTCACATCCAGGATTTATCCAAGAGAAAAAAAAAAAAACATATGTGTGCATAAAAACTTAAAAGCCACAAAGTGGAAACCCAAATGTCTATCAACAGGCAAATAAACAAACTGTGGTACATCCCCCCACTATAACACAACTCGGCACTAAAAAGGAACTAGCTACTGATACACATAACATGAAAGACTCTCAAAAGCATAATACTAAGTGCCAGGAGCCTGATACAAAATGGTATTTATTATATGTTACCACTTTGATGACATTCAAAAACCAAACCCAAACTAAACCCATTGCTGTCGACTGTACTGTGACTCATAGCATCCCTATAGGTCAGGACAGAACTGCTGCCCCATAGGGTTTCCAAGGCTGTAATCTTTATGGGATCATCAGCCTGCCACATCTTTCTCCTGCAGAGCAGCTGATAGTTTCAAACTGCTGACCTTTTGGTTAGCAGTCAAGTGCTTAACCACTGTGCCACCAGAGCTCCTATTCAAGAACAGGCAAAACTAATTTATGTGAAAAAAATCAGAACAGTGGATGCCTCTGGGGGTAGAGGAAAGGG